TGTACTAATTATTGTGATTATTGCCCAAATCGCGTTCGTGCAGACCAAAAAATTATCCATCACTCAAAAACTGAGAGCGCAAACTGACAGTTCTCTTGGATAACTTGGCTTGCTAAAATTTTTCCAACAAGAATTTGCAATCACGAAAAACATATGATTGTGGCACATGGTTGCATTTTTGTCGACGATAATTTGAATAAATAAGTTCGTTAAATTTGAAAATTTATAAAAATTAGCGATTTTTTTATGAAAAAAGAAAGTAAATACTTGTTGATAGAATTAATTTAGTTAATTCCAATGATTTGAACTGTACTCGGCTGAAAAAAATTGTATTCACAATCGGAATGCAATTGCAACCAGAGTCGATTTAAGAAACCCACGGTGGACCTGAACCAACTTTAAATCGAAGGTCATAGCACATCATATTTTTTTGCTATTTTGGGTTAATTATGTTATGAATAACTTGTAAAAATTTCATAGCCCATAACTTATCGAGCCGTTTTTTAAAAAACGCATTTTGAATGAAAATTATTCCTTTTCTTTTAAAATTTTCACGCACCCGCTCTAGATGACAAATTGATACATTACAGTTTATATTTATTTTGTAATGTAACTTATACGGTTTATATACAATCAAGTTAGTATATGGTTCAAGTGTGTTAACTTGTTTTATGCACAAAATGCCGATAAATTCAATTCAAACGAGAAGATTGTGCGCGCACAACATTTGTTCTTTTTAAGTTTCGAATATAAGTATTCTTTATACTTGCAATAGTTTTTGTCAAGTATATTTACAAAACAATAGCATGTTTGCAAGACCAAATGACCATGCATGCATGTAGGCAAGGGTCTAGGATTCTATAGCGAGCAAGCTGTAGAATCTCTACATTCCGACTTTAAAGCAACTGGGACAAATATAAAGTATTCGTCAAGCATCCGGAATATCCATCTAAATTACTGAGAGCAGTACAGGAATACAATGGAATACATGTATAAGCTACTGTTTAAAAAATTTAAAGGATTGTATGTAAAACACCATGCTGCTCTCCCATTAGTTGTCCAAAAATACATTCAAATATAATCTATATATAAATACGCCACAAGAAAATTTTGCAATCCCTTTTGCAGGCAGCGTTGGCTCGATTTCTATGAAACATACACCAATTTAAAGGATATAACTTATTCTAATTCAGAAATGTTAACCCCGATATATAGGGGGCGTGGCATCTGACATATAGACTAAAATGTGAAAACCACAATATCTCTAAAACCAATTACGCTGGGGAACTGAAACCTAGCACAGATGCATAGATTGTAAATACCCTACTTACGGCGAAAAATGGTAGATACTGGAAAAGTGGGCGTGGCACTTCCCACACAAACTGAAATTCTCATATCGCTTATCTCTGGAACCACTTATTAGGGCTATTCGCGATTCGGTGCATAAGAGCTGACAAATTTATGCAATTGCAGAAATATGCCATGGATTGTGAGCGACCTTTATTAAACTGTCATGGTAAAGCTTTTGCAAAACAATTTTTGTGCATCAGCTTTGGTTTTCTTTATGAATGCAATGCATAGCCTTTTTATGCTATGGATTTTCGGTATTGCAAATTTGCCAAGCCATGACAAATGCAAATGCGTGTATTTTGTTTATGTATTGCAAATAATTTGCAATACAAATTTGCAATGCAATGATGCTAGGCCATTTGCACCGGATCGCGAATAGCCCTATTGTAAGGTTTTGGAATTTTATACACCTACATTTATACACATATAAAATCGCAAGAATCATTCAACTGGGAACCATTTTCTCCCAGATTTTAAAATCGCATTGAATGGTTGTTGTTTCGTGCAAAAGCTTTTAGAAGTATAAGTGTGTTTGTCTTCCGATATTTGGCGCAGGGATTGAGAGCTAACCTAAAAAAAATTATATTTATGATCAGATTTGTTTCACTTTTAGAACACATATTAGTAATATAAAATTTGGTGTAACTTTGTAGCCCAGTCGTGTGATGGAAAAATATTGGGCTTTGGCCCAGTCTTGACCAAAACCCGCGTGAAACCGCCATTAGAGAAGGAAATATTATCTTCTGTTGTAAATCTTCAAGATACTTTCTCAACCGTTAACGATTCTGATGAAAAAATAAAGAGTTTATGTAGATGTGGGCAATTTAGTTTTTATTCTCCAAGAAGCTCTCAGACAAATATAATCGAAAAACTTATTTAAAGTCTGAATTGGTATATGTTTGACATATTAGTCAGTGATGAACACTTATCTGTACATACAAATACATATGCATATTTTTTATAAATGAAAATCGAGGTTCCTTTTTCAAAAGCAACTGAAGAAATTTGGAGGAGACTTGATAGAATTAGCATTAATCAATCCGGTATTAACGTTCATAATTCGTTTTTAAGTTTTCCTTTAAATTCGCTATAAATTTTGTTGGTGGACTTCAAATGTAATTTACATAAAGGAGTTAGTATTTGTGACAGGTAAAATTCAAAATTGTATGAAAAAAGATGTCGAATTCCGACAACTGGGCGATACTAGTAAACAAAAAATTGACTTTATACCCGGTACAGTTTGTAGAAATAAACGATGTTCTTTTCAATAATAAAAATTTAGTTGTTTATAAAATATCGTGCATTTTTTAAACAAATTATGTATTACATAAAAAAATAAATAACGAGTGTTGTAGCCTTAGTAGTGTTTCCTTCACATTACAATTTTTAAAAAGGGCCAATGTAATGCTTAAATCCGTAGTCCAATATGTATGTATGAAAATTTTAAAAGAAAAGGAATAATTTTTATTTAAAATGATTTTTTTCAAAAACGGCTCGACAAGTTATGGGCTTTAAAATTTTTACACATTATTTATAACATAAATAACCCAAATTAGCAATAAAAAATGATGTGCTATGACCTTCGATTTAAAGTTGGTTCAGGCCCACAGTGAACCCTACAGCTAGTACGATAACGAAATTGAAATGTATGCTAAAGAAAGTCAGAATAACGCAAAATATACATTTATATCCCCTTTTTGGTCCATCTGAAAGGATTTTAAAAATTCAATAAAAAGTTGGTATGTTTGAAAAGCACTTGTGGACACCAGCTGGCATGAAAACTTGCAAATTCCTGCAAATTTGAGTTCGTGCAGAAATTTGTAAGTTCCTCAACATGAGAGAGAATTTGAGAGAATTATTTCTTACTCTCTGATATTTTGAGTGTTGGATAATTCTTGCGGGACAAACCTCTTCGAAGAACAAACCTATTATCTTCTCACAATTGCATGGATTGCTTGTGTACCAGGGATGGAAGAGTAGGTACAATTGTACCCTTTTCCGTCTCTTTCGAACCAAAAGGTACATTCGGTACACTGAGCTCAATTTAGGATCAATTAGACGACAGCCACATGAATATCCATATTAAAGACTATGCTGCTCGCAAACGAAAAATTTAAGAAAATCTTTGTAAAAAAGGAACATTTTATGTGTATAAAGTTAGCGAAACAACATGAAGAAAAAAATGTCGCATATACCCATGAATTTTCCGTTAATTAATTGTGGAAAAAATAATTTTGTCGTTCTTGTATTTTTTAGATATAAGGTGTTTTGCTATTTTTATACCCGAGCGCACTTGTGCACAAGGGTATTATAACTTTGTTCACATAACAGTTGTTTGTAACAGGCAAAACGAATCGAGATAGATATAGACAAATGTATACATAAATGATCAGAATGAAAAGAGAAATCGATTAAGCGGTGACTGTCTGTCCGTCCGTCCGTCCGTCCGTCCGTGCACACGATAACTCAAGTAAAAATTGAGATATATTAACGAAACTTGGTACGTGAACTTCTTTTGGGCGTAGGACGGATGGTATTGAACATGGGCGAAATCGGACAACAACCACGCCTACCTCCCATATAACGGTAATTTTAAGAAATACGAAAACTGCGATATTTTAGTAACTACTGAAGATAATTCACTCAAAATTGATATTTATAATAAGTTTTACACGACAAATAAGAATAATATAAATTTTTGGAAAATGGGCGTAACCACGCCCACTTATGGTTACATGTGTATATCTTGGTAACCGCTGCACTAATTTCTTCCAAACTTGGCACACTTGTTGGCCTTAGTACAGCATTACTAAATGGCTGAAAATTTTAAAAATCGGACAATAACCACGCCTACCTCCCATATAACGGTAATTTTCAGAAAAACGAAAACTGCG